AGGAGAGGAGAGGAGAGGAGAGGAGAGGAGAGGAGAGGAGAGGAGAGGAGAGGAGAGGAGAGGAGAGGGGTGCTGTTGAGACTGGGGGTCTCCATTGGTGTCTGGCGTGGGCTTGTCCCTTTGGGCAGTGGTGAGGTTGATGGCTCTCCCCACAGAGTGTCCCCGGCAGTTCTGGGGTCCTGACTGCAAGGAAATGTGCACCTGCCATCCCAATGGGCAGTGCGAGGATGTGACGGGCCAGTGCACCTGCAACCTCAACCGCTGGGGCCCCAAGTGCGAGAACATCTGCCTCTGCAAGCACGGCAAGTGCGACCAGAAAACAGGCAAATGCACCTGCGAGCCCAACTGGTGGGGTCCACAGTGCTCCAGCTCCTGCTACTGCAGCCACAACTCCCAGTGTGACCAGCAGACAGGCAACTGCCTGTGCCAGCCCGGCTGGTGGGGCCGTGGCTGCAACAACCAGTGCTCCTGCAACAACTCTCCCTGCGAGCAGTTCACGGGGCGCTGCCAGTGCCGGGAGAGGACCTTCGGGCCCCGCTGCGACCGCTACTGCCAGTGCTACAAGGGCAAGTGCAACCAGGTGGACGGGACCTGCACATGCGAGCCGGGCTACCGGGGCAAGTACTGCCGTGAGCCGTGCCCAGCTGGCTTCTATGGCCAGGGCTGCAGGAGGCGGTGAGTGGCCATCCCTGCTGGGTCTGATCCAGCACCGGTGGGAGGTGGCAGCAGGAGGATTTGGGCTGTGCTGGGTGATGGGGTCCCCTTGTTGCAGGTGTGGGCAGTGCAAGAGCCTGCAGCCATGCACCGTGGCCGATGGGCGCTGCCTGACATGTGAGGCGGGCTGGAACGGCACCAAGTGTGACCAGCCCTGCTCGCCCGGCTTCTACGGAGAGGGCTGCGAGAAGCTCTGTCCCCCCTGCAAGGATGGCCACACCTGCAATCACATCAATGGCAAATGCTCCCACTGCAACCCGGGGTGGATTGGAGACCGGTGAGTGAGGCTGGGTGCAGCACTGGGTTCTGGGAGAGCAGCGCCCAGCTTCCCTGATTCTCCCAGGGAACAGGGTCACTGAAGGGTTTTGCAGCCCTGGAACTGATCCTGGGTACAAGAGTTTGCAGAGGAGCACCCCAGCTTGAGAGCTGAGCCCCACTGCAAGCATCCAGGGTTCAAGGGGCATAGGGCAGGGGTCTCACAGACTCCCTCTGGTTCCATGGCTGTGTCAGTGGGCTCAGCCCATCCCTGTACTCCCCTCCTGGCTTCAGAAACCACAAGGCACCAAGGTGATATTCAGCACCGTCTCCGTGCATGTGGAGGGATGCTGGAGGTCGCCAAGTGCCATGGGTGCTCCAGCCACTTGCCCTCATCCCTCCCAGGTGTGAAACCAAGTGCCGGAACGGAACATATGGGGAGAACTGCGCCTTCGTCTGCAACGACTGCGTCAATGGCCAGTGCCACTTCGAGACTGGGCAGTGCCTCTGCCACCCTGGCTCCCATGGCACATAGTAAGTGAGGCACTGGTGAGCATGCCTGGGGGCACCTCATGGCTACAGGTGATGCTCAGGCACCTCCTGCCCCCTTGTGTCCTATGCTGTTGCCATCTGAGAGGTTTCCTGCAGTGGAAGCACTCATGGGTGATAGTTCGGATGATTTGGTGAGCAGAGGGGGAAGGATAAGCTCACAGAGCAGCAAAGGGTGTTGTGCTTTAGAAAAGGCCTGTTTGGGAATAACAAATCAACAAAAAGTGGTGGTTTGGTGGGGTTTTTTAAGTCCAGGGTGGATTTTCTATCCAAAACCAGAGAGAAAACCACATCACAGAATAACAAGCCTCACAGGCATGGCATCCTTGGGGGGCTCCCGCTCAAAGCTCTGCTTCTGGCTAGGGTCTTCCCCAGGCCTCCTCCTTCCCCCACTCCAGGGACACAAGGGTCATCGAGGGTCTGCTCACATCCCTAGGTAGTTTTTCCCAGCGTGGGACTGAAATGTTGTTTGAAAATATGAGGAAAGCATTTTCCACCCAGCTGGGACGGGCAGACAGCCACCCCAGGTCTTGCTGTGTGGTACTCGGGTTTTCTGAGCAATTAACAGAGGGTGACAGCAAGGATAGGGATTTAGAACTAGCAGCTTGCCCATGCTGGCTTTTCACTCAGGGCATAAAAACAGGGACCATTTGCATTTTGGGAGGTGGAATTGTGGGGCTTTGCCAACCACTTGTGGTGCTGGAACAGTTGCTGAACACTGGCACCAGCCTGGGCATCATGGCCACCTCTGCCTCTCACCTAGGCAGAGGTGAGAGGGTCTGAATGCTCCTCGGGGGGGTATGGTGATGCTTTTGGGACAGTGCCAGAGGGCAGAGTGTGGATTAACCTGTTCTGAGACCCTGGCACAGCATTGGGAAGGTGGGGATGTGGGATGCTCAGGATACAGCTTTGGTGCTGTAACCTTGAGCTGAGCTGTGCCAGGTGGTACAGTCAGGCAGGCTCGGGAATGTTCTGGGTGCTCAGGCAAATCCCTGTGACTATATCCAAACCAATGTTTTTGTCAGCAGGGTACAGTTTTGCTAAAAAGGGGATTACTGCAATGAAAGCACAAGCAACGTCTTTGCCATAAAGCATATCCTCTCAGCTCTGTGTCAGGAGGAGACTAAAGGAGCAGCTTCCAAAATATTTATGGGTGCACAAAGTGCTTTATCTTCTCTGTCTTTCCCAGAAGTGTCAGGACTCTCCTGGGAAAAATCACCCTCCTCTCCTCTTCCAAAATCTCAGCCTGGGGCAGAACTGTGGGGCCAAGTGGTGGAGTGAGAGTTTTGGCCGTGCTAGGGGACTATCCCTGCTCCTGTTCTGCTTCTTTAGCTGCCCTGGTGCAGCACAGCAGACGCAGAAGCTCAGCACCCATCCTGGCAGCCACACGATGGGCACATGACAGGCACACAGCAGGCACAAGGCTTGGCCAAGGTGGCACTTTGCAAGTTGTTAGAGTGTGAAATGGGCTGAGCCACCTCGGGGCACAGTGCCCAGGGCTGGGGACAGCTGTGTCCCCAGGGGAGTGGGTTTGGTCTGGGGCCCACTGGCTCCTTCCAGCTGCAGCTGGCTCCTTCCAGCTGGGATGCAGCTGGCAGAGGGTTTGGTGCCCAGCAACACTGCCAACATCTCCCAGCTCCAGCTGGGTCCTGCTCTGCGATGCCTGGCCCATGGCTGGGGAGGCAGGTTGGGATGGATCCACTATGCTCAAGCCCTCGAGACTTGTGGATTGGTGCCCATTTATGTGTGTCCCCATCATCTCTGTGACACCATCAGAAAGTCATTTTACCAGCAGTGGAGATTTGGCACCAGGCATAGCCAAACTGGAAGGGTCTTAGGCTGCTCTGTTGTTTTTCCTTCTTGGAGGCAAAAAAACAAAAGTCAGTCTGGGCACTTTCCCAGCTTGTGGCCACTGTGGCTCAGCTGGCTTGGTAGGGGGTGGGGCTTGGGGTGCCACAGCCACATCACCACTGAGCTGAGCTGGAATCCCTGTGTGTGACATCAGGGTATCTTTAGATGTGACTGCTGGGTTAATGACCGTTCCTAATTACTGTGTCTAATGGTGAAGTGACATGCAGTAAGGGTGTCTGAGATCCAGCTGGGCCGAATCCTTCGAGTGGTGGACAAAGTCACTGCGTGGGTGATGGGCTCCTGATCCCTGTGGATTAAGGGTTCCCCCAGGGTGTGGAGGAGCTGTGTCAGAGCAAGCTGGAGGAGTGCTCCCTGCAACATGGAAGGTTTGGGAGAAAGTGGCAGCCGAGTGGGAGCACTGTCGTGCCTGGGGTGGGGGATGCACTACTCTCATCCAGCCCTTCCCTCCAGCTGTAACCTGACTTGCCCCCCTGGACACTTCGGAGCCAACTGTGCCGAGGTCTGCAGCTGCCACGACGGTGCCTGCGACCCCCTGACGGGCGCCTGCCACATGGGTGAGTGCCAGGCACCGGGGCTGGGCTCTGGCACGGGGCTGGTCCCGGGCTGAGCCGCGGGTCTGCCTTGCAGAGGCCAACCAGAGGATGGGGGTGATCGGGGCCGGGGCCCTGCTGGCGCTGCTGCTCATCCTCCTGCTCTCCCTGCTCTGCTGCTGCTGCGTCTGCCGCAAGAAGGACAAAGCCGGCGGGTGAGTGCTGGGGCCAGGAGGGATCTCCCCAGGCTGGGAATGCGGAAGATCAGTGGGTTCTGGGACTGACAGGGGGCATGCAGAGACCATGCTGGGGCAGCGGCTGTGCAGGGAAGCTGAGGCAGAGCTGTGCTGCCCGTGTGACGCCATGAGGGTACGAGGCTCTGAGCAGTCCTGCTGCATCATCAGGGCTGATGGAGGTACTCGGGGAGACCCCTTCCAGGGGAGCACCTTCCTGCTCTCCCTGATTTTGTTTCTTTCTTGTGAGCCATAATCTCACAGAGACCTGCCGAGTTCCCTCCAGTCACTAGGGTCTGGAGCTGATCTGCAGAGGGGGCCCTGAAATACAGCAAGGGCTACACGACACAGCCAAAATCCTCAGAACAAATCCCTGGGCAAAGGGATGAGGCCTGGGGGACAGAGGGGATTCTGACTGTCCCACATGGGGATGGATGATCAGAGCTGGGAGGGTGGGTTCCTGCAGCAAGGTCAGGATGCTGACAGCATTTTAGAAGCACCAGGTCAACATCCTACCATGATAATAGGAGTGGGGACAGACACAAAGCATGGGGAAAGGTTTGTGCTGCTCAGCAAGGGATAAGAGGACTGTTGGAGCTCCTCCAGATGTAGAGAAAACCCCCTCGTGCCACCAGCCACTGCACAGGAATTTTCTGGAAGCCTCCCCTTGCAGCCCTGTGAGGTCAATCACAGCCAGGCACAGCTGGCTTGGAAAGCCTGAAGGCTGCAGGTAATAATCCTGCAGATAAAGCACAAACCCATCAGGTGAGGAATGGCCCAGGGAGAGGGGGAATGGCTCCAGACAGTTTCCTCTCTCCCAGGGCGCCCAGACCACAGTGTCCCCAGACTGCTGGGTGACCCATGGAGCTGTCACAGCACAGTCCCTTGCAGGGGGTGGTGGGCATGGCACAGGTTCCCTTGAGTCAACTCACAAAGCCACTCACTCCTGTGGCTGTGGAAAATTGCTTGAAAATGTGGCCCCAGGAGGCTTCAAAACCAGAGAGCAAATAAAGAGAAGCCACATGTTTGGCTTTGGGTTGGGATGATTTTTTTTTTTTAAAGATTTGGGGTCTTGACCAGGCACTGCGGGTATTTTGGGGCTGTACTGCCAATGGCTGTGGTTGGATCCAACCTTCCCACCATTCCCTGGCACTGCTGTACATCCTGGTGTGGTGCAAGCTGGTTCCTGGGGCTGGCAGCAGCCTCTGTGGGTCCTCAACTCCTTCAGCCTGGGCACACCCCTGCTTTTCATCCACCCCATTATCACTCCAAAACCCCTTTGCACTGCAGCACCCCTGAGCTGCTGCCTTTCTCTGTTGCCCATGAAGGCTGTCCCCACCACAGGAGGGGAGCAGTGCCTCTGATAGTGCCATTGCATTTTCTGCAGCTCCAGCCAGGACCCAGCAGCAGCCAAGAAGCCTCCAAGACGTTTGTGTGGGCGGTTCAGTCGGATTGGGATGAAGCTCCCACGCATCCCCCTTCGCCGCCAGAAGCTGCCCAAGGTCATGGGTAAGGTGCTGGGGTTTGGGGAAGGTGCAGAGAGCCAGGTTTTACTCCTGTCAGGGCAGTGTGTGTGGCTCAGAGCACCCTTTGCAGCCCCAAAGCAGGGCTGTGAGCATGGCAGGGCAGTGACAGGAGCACACAGATCACTGGGAGCATTTCAATGGTTGGAGCTCAGCCCTTTTTGTCTGCAGCTTCTAGATCTCCCAAGTACATTTTGCTTTGAGAGGATGCAAAGTTTGTACCTTGTTCTGGAGCTCTGCTGAGTAGTTTTGGGTTTATTCTCCTGAGGTTCCCCTGGAGAGGAATGGTCCCTGTCACTCAGCAAGATGCCTTGTTAGTGCTTTTGGTCCTGAAGTAACCCCAGAAGCCAGAGCCAGAGGAAGCCAGAGGACAGATGCCCTCCCTTCTGCCATGTGCAGCAGAGAGGATGGAGAGGCAGAGATTTGGGTGGTGCTTCCCACTCAGACCAGACACAGAACTGGCTTGTAGGGAGCTGCTCATACCTGGCAAAGCCCCTGACCTGGCATTGCCAGGGCTATTGGGGACCTCCTGCATCCAGCAGCTGGGGAATGCTGTCCCTTGTACTCTCTGAGCTCTCCGTGCAACTCTTCCCAGCATGGGGAGCTGGGGATCTGCTGCAACCCCGTTGACTAAACTTTGTGTGAAGGCAGCAATCCCCACTGTGTGCTGGGATGCACTTCACCCCCAGCCCCCTTCCTGAGCCTCACTGGGCATGCCATGCTGGTGGAGCCCCCAGAGCAGCCACATCCTGGCACACGGTGGCTCAGCAGGAGGCTCAGTCCCTCATCCCAGCAGGACACAGAGGGGACCCCCATCCCTGCACACCACGCACTACCTTCAGCATCCAAGCTGGGAGGATTACCCCTCGCCATGTGGGGCACAGCAAAGCCCTACCTGGAGCAGGGTGTGCTGGGGCCCAAGAAACATTCCTGCTGCAAGGATAACAGATCATACAGGCTGTGCTTGTGGAAGGGGCCAGAAAAGGGCTTGGGGAGGACAGAGGGAGCCTGTGTGCAGTGAGGGCAAGGGGGGCTGCCTGCAGGCAGCTGGCAGCAGTCCAGCTGCTCTGTGTACACAGAGCAGCAGTGGCCCCAGGAAAGGCTGAGGGTGCTCAGGATGGTCTCGGGCCCCAGGAGGGCTGGGGCTGTTCCTGGAGTCTGTCACAGAGCTGAGTTGGCATCTCCCCTGGTCAGGGCTTGCCTTATCTGGCAGAGTAGAGCCCGTGTAGGCTCCAGTAGCTCCCAGTCCCCCTGACACGTGGCCTGGCAGTGCCTCCAGCCCCCACTGGGTCTCGGGGCCCCAGGGTGACAGTGCCCTGTTGGGGTGCCTATAGTAGCCGCCTTCCTGATGCCCAGTGACCAGGGTGCCACGTCATGACCGCACCTGGTGCTGTGGAAGCTACACCAGGCACTATCCCCCTGCAGAGGCCATTTGCTCCCCATGATGGTCCTGCCCCAGCAGGGGGGCCCAGAGTTGCTGAAGTGACCCATCCCAAGAGTCAAGTCAGTGCTGGAGGTGCTCGAGACCTTGTGGGATGTCACAGTAAAAGTGGTGCTGGCTGATGCCTGGGCAGTGGTCACTCTGGATCTGTCCACACTCCTGGCCATGCGCTTGCTGCCACCAGGTTGGGTTTTCTCTTCTGGCCTCAAACACCAGTGAACACAAGCCTACTCATGGTAGACATTCCCAGGTGCGACTGCAGGTCTTGAAGCCCCACTAAAGCTCATCAGGTGCCTGGAGCCTCAGGTTCCTCCCTCAAAAGCTGCTCCCCAGTCTTGGCACCAGTTCTGGATCCACAGCATCTCCCCAGAGATTGCACCCGAGCTGGCAGCCTGCAGGGCCACACCCTGGGCTCACACCAACAGCCATAAGGCCAGTGTTTGGGTACCCCTGTGTGTGGGATTTGCTCATGTCACCCTAAAGATGCCAGGGCTAACTTGAGCCTGGCACCCCACCGCGTTTCCTCCCCAAGCAGCAAAGCTCAACCAGCCCCAAGGGTGATGCCGATCATGGGGAGCTGGGGATGAGTGGGAGGGGGTGGCCAGGAGGACTCTGAGATCCCTCTCTCATAATTCTTCTGCTGCTCTTTTCTGCCTCATCCCAGTCTTGAGACCAGCTGGCCACTGTGCAGGCAGGGCTGGGGTTGTTATTCTGATGCTGTGGCTCCGGGAGATTTTGGGGAGCAGTGATAGGTAGGGATATGTGGGAAGCATCCACATTTCTCTCAGCCCCAACAGCTGAGAAGAAAAATCCCTGATAACCATCCTGGAGCCCCCAAGCCTCCCAAAGCTTCCAGGTGCACTACATATCCTTATTTTATAATCTGGCTGTGTCCTGGGTCTCACTGGAGACCCAGAGTCGCCTTGTGGCCGTGAGTCCCAGCCACTTGTCCTGCCTCCTCTCAGAAAGCATTTCCCTTCATCCGCTTCCAGACGGCTGCTTTTAATTTTCTCTTTTTGGTTTTTATTACAAGGAAAGCCATGTTGGAGCTGCCGTTTCACCCTCTCTGGGCCATTTGCTCTTTAAATATCTCTGCTTGTTTTTTTTTTTCTCCTTGCTCCAAGAAGCCAAATTATGCAAGGGTGAGTGTGTAGCACTGCTGTCATTTTAACAGCCCTACAAGTCTGAAGCCAGATTCCCTAATAAAGGATAAACATTCCAGTGGGCATCCCAATTACACTAAAAATTATTTTATTGCAAATCAGGGATGTGCTGCAAGATTCAAAAAGTCCAGGCAGGCAATTGCACCGTGACTGGGATGCAGTTGGGCTGTTCAGTCAAAAGTTAAAAATATGTGACAATACCCACATACAGCTGCGACCCTCTCTGTTCATGGGGTTTTCATAGAATCGAAGAATATCCTGAGCTGGGAGGGACCCACAGGGATCATCAGTGCAGCTCTTGGCCCTGCACAGCCATCCCAACACTCCCACCCTGTGCCTGAGAGCTCTGGCAGCCTTGGGGCCATGCCCATTCCCTGGGGAGCCTGGGCAATGCCCAGCAACCTCTGGGACCATCCTTTTGCAGCTCTTCATCCAAAGCAAGGCTCTGCCCTGCTTTGGAGGCAGCTTGTCACTGTCCCAGGGGACAAAAGCCAGTGGAAGGGGATGGGGACAAGTGCATCTACTGCTGTATGGCTCTCTGGGAGGATTGGTCTCTCCTCCCAGCTGGGTGCTGCCTCAATTCTGTGGCTACCTGAGGAGGCTGCTGAAGCTGTGGGCACCTGGGGAAGCCCCTCAGGATGTGCTGGGACATGAGTTTATGCAGAAAAAAGCCTTAAAAATGATCAAGATAAAAAAAAGAAAAAAAAGGAACTACAGCCTAGACAACTCTTAACTGCTCATCTTTATTTTGTTTTATTAACACCATTTTTCCTCTGGTGGTTTCTCTCTTTGACTTGGTTTCTCTGTGGGTGGCCCCTTGGCAGAGGGGCAGTTCCAGGGCATGGAGAGAGGGATACTCCTACTCAGCTTCAGGAGGGAAGAAGCTGGCAAAGGGATTGAAAAATGGCAGAATAGGGAAAATGTACATCCCCCTGCTGCAGGCTTCCTTTGATCATCCTGCATCCATGTGCAAAAGCACATGGAAAAGGAAATGCAGGCAGTGATGCTGAAGTGGGAATTAGTGGAATTAAAGCCAGCAGCTAATTTTCTCCCAGGAAAGGGACAGTCACAGTGCCAGGACCCTCTTTGACAGGTGGCTGTGCCAGGTTGCACAGATCATAGATGACCACCAAGACACTCCCCAAGTCCTCATGGGACCAAGGGTTTGGGTAGCTTGTCCCTCCACCACATGCACCCCCAATTTGGGCAGCTGGAGCCGGAGATAGATGGAAGCATGATGCTTGAACAGACTCTGCTGCCCACAGCCCAAGCATGGGGGATACTGGTCACCACCACTGCTGGTTGATGGCTTTTGTGGCCACTTGACTGAGGGATCTGGTGCGACTGTGCAGCAAGAAGTATCCCCATGCCTTGGATGCTGTCCCTGTCCCTGACACCCAGCAGGAAGCTGGGCAGTGGGAGCTGTGCAGCCTCCCACCCTCCTGGCTGACAGTGGGGAGGGGGAGGTTTGGCAGAATAAGCACTGACGACAGTTCCTCACCCTCACAGTGGCCCACCATGACCTGGAAAACACCCTGAACTGCAGCTTCATCGAGCCACCCTCTGTGGTGGAGCAGCCATCCCCATCCTGGTCATCCCGTGGCTCCTTCTCCTCCTTTGACACCACGGACGAGGGGCCTGTGTACTGTGTCCCCCATGAAGGTGAGCAGGGTGTATCCCCAGGGGACTTCGGGGACAATTCCAGGGGCCTACTCTGTGGAGAGGTGTCACTCTTGCATGGTGGGGACTGTGTAACCGTGGTTCCTGGTGCCCCAGGAAGGAGTGCATCTTCCAGTCATGCTTCCCATATAGTTTCAGAGCTCCCTCCTCCAGCATTTGCTGCTCCAGGGTTAAGAGCCAGGAGATCTCTGACTGGGAGCCTAACTGGTAGGACACTGTTCTGCAGGAGCATCTCATCCTTCCCCTCCTCAGGCACATCCCACCTGACACTGCTGTGCTCTCTTCCCACAGAGAGCGTGGGTGACAGCAGGGACAGAGGGACAAGCCCCGGGGACAAGCTGGTGGCCCCAGTCAGCGGAGAGGATGCAGGAGAATACACATTCCTGAAGGAGACGGGCTCTGTCAGAGCCTTCCCGACCGACAGCAGTGAGACCCCCCTGCTCAAGTCCTCGGACAGCGAACGCTCCTCCTGCGGCTCAGGGTCGGCCGGTGCCGCGCTCTACGCTAGGGTTGCCCGCCTCTCCAAGCAGTCCAAGGAGGAGGAGGATGCCACTGCAGAGCCCCGCAGCCCCGAGAAGCCGCCATCCCCGGAAAGGACCAAGCCCCGTCCTCCAGACCCGGCCACGAAGCCCAAAGTCTCCTGGATCCACAGCAGGTACAACTCCGGCCAGTCCAACTCCATGCTGGCACCCAGCCAGTCCCCAGAGCAGGCGGCTGCCCGGTCCGGCAGCCCCGAGCAAGGCCAGGGCTTGGCCAAGAGGAAGAGGAGCCCAAGCGAGACATCAGCCAATGTGCACGGCAGAGCGGAGGAGAAGGGCGGTGCCCGCAGCAAGGAGAAAGCACAGAAGCAACCGAAGGAAACCGGCATCACCGAGGGCAAATCCAGCCTTTGTGGGGAGCCACAGTCACCCTCCAAACCCAAGCAGAGGAGCAAAGCCAACTCGGAGCCAATGGAGACCATCAACGGGGTGGTGCAGAACACCTTCCGAAAGATAGGTGCCTTCCAGCCGGAGCGGCGGGCCGGGGACACCAGGGATGCTCCTTGTAGCCCTGGCACCAGCAAGCCCCGCTCCGAGCCGCTGCATCCCCAGCTGGCCTCCGAGCTGGCTGCCCAACTGAAGGAAAAGACTCAGAGCCTCAACAAGGGGGACGGAGGCATCCGAGCGAACGGGGTCGGTGCCCAGCGAGAGAAGCCCACCCCTCCACAGAAAGCCAAGCGCTCGGCGGCCGCCGGCGGCCAGAAGACCAGCAAACCCTTGCTGTCCACCTCTCCCCATCTGCAAAAACTGATCCCTGCGGCAGCCGAGACGGCAGCCGGGGAGCCCAAGTGGATGGAGAAGCCAAGTGCTGGCAGCTGCCAGGATCAGACTCTCCCCACTGAGCAGACAGCCAAGAAAACCCCCATTAAGAAGCCTCCCAGGAAGAAGAGCCGGGAAGCAAGCCTGGAGCCACCCAGGGCAGCTGCTGTGCCTGCTCAGGCAGTGCAGTGACCAGGAACCAGGCACTGGCCCCGCACTGGCCGCATACCAGGAAGAAGGACATTTGCCAGCACAACCAGCGAATGTGGGAGGCTGGACTGGGCTGGGGGCACTGGAAGAGCCTTGATCCTCCCTTTATCCCCCTCCACCTCACTCATCCCTCTTTCTGCCTTAGTCTACCAGTCCCTTCATCTGTGCCTTCCTCCTGCTCTTTGCCCAGGTCTCAGCTCGCCCTCCCTCTCCGCGCAGGGCGGGACTGCAAGGAGCCGGCCCAGCCGCCACCCCGGGGGGGCTCTGTGTGTGGCGAATCACCCCCCCTTTTTTTTTGTAGCAGTATTATCAACCGCATAAGCAGCGCTTGTTGTACTAGACGTGTCCACGGTATATTCTGCAGTAACCGAGCCGCTCGCTTCCTGGGCTCCACTCTGGTCTGTCGGGGTCACGGAGCATGGGACAGGGAGGGAGCTGCTGTTGCTCAGTGCCCTGGGCAGTGCCAGAGATGTGCCCCACAGCCATCGCTGGCAGCAGCTCCCCTTCCCCAGCACCCTCCAGGCACAGCTCTCCACTGCTGGTGCATGCCGCAGTGGGGTCGAGCTGGTTTCGACCGATGCCACCTTACCTCCCCTCCGCCCCAGCGCTGCTCCTGGCCAGGAGGAAGCACTATTTATGGATGGAGGTGGATGCCCTTCAGGTTCCTGCATCCCATCCAATGGAGTTGGAGGGATTAGTTTGGTATGAGAGAGCCTGGCATCTCTGCAGAGCGCTTTCTTAATAAAAATATATTTCTTCTGTAGCTGGGTGCCATCTATCCCTGCCTTCCTGTGGGCAGGCAACATGCCCAGCCTGCTTGAGTGCTACCTGGTCCTGTAGTGGGGTGCAGTGCGGAGATGGATGACCTTGCAGCAGTACAGGCAGGTGGTAACAAGCAGCAGACAGGGTGGAAGGCAGGTCCCCACTAGGGCCACTGCTACATGCTCACCTGGCATCAGAGATGAGCCCTGAGACAAGATGAGGAGCTTCTCTTCCCCCAGTATCCAGCATTGTCCCAGTGGCTTACTGGTCCCATGGTCAGACACTCCTCACTGTAGCCTGGGTCAGACCTTGAGGTTCAAGAGAGCTCTGGCTATGGAGCAAAGAGAGCCCACCCCTGGGTGTTCAGGGTGCTGGGACACAAATGTAGGGGGACATGGGTGTAACCTCCTGCCCAGGGGCTGCTAGCCCTGCCAGCATTTGGGGTCTTCACACAGCCTCAGGTAGGATGCTGCCAGAGGACAACGCTAGGACAAGCCCAGGGGCAGACCAGAAGCTGAGGCTTCTCCCACACAGCTTCTGCCCAAGATTCCTAAGCAGGACTCTCCCTGACATTAGAATTGGGGCTGTCTGCCAGGAGCATTGGTACCCACCACTGAGCTATCCTGAGCTGTTCCCACCATGGGGGTTGATATCCCAGAAGACCACCAGACCAAAGGGTCAACCATAGCAATCTCAGAGTTGATGGAGGCAGCTGGTGAACACCAGAATGGGATGAAACCAGATGGAACCAGGACTGCAGCCAGCCCAGCAGAACACTCAAGAGAGGATGGGGCTCTGGCCCACACCTGGGCATGGCTCAGCATTGTGTATCTGGAGCCAGCACAGTACCTGACACCAGCTGGAGAAGCACCATCACATCACACAAAGCTGAAGAATGACATCACAGCATTGCTTCACAGGCTCCTGGTCACCTTTCAGAGTTCCTTCAAGCTCCCACCCCTTTCCTTCAGGTTTTACTTGGGAAGATGAAGGAAAGTGGCTGAAACTAGGCCTGAGATATCACACAGTGCAGAAAAAGTAGTGGATGAATGAGCTTAATGTCACCAGATACAAAACAGAGAAAATCAATAGAAAAATTAAGACACTGAATCCATGAGACCTGGGATGGCATCCAAGCCCCTCTTTCCACCATGGAGGCAGTTGTTGGACAAACTGAAGAGGCTTCCAAGACACTCAGATTAATAACTACTCATGGGTTAGTAAAAGAGAAGTAAAGGAGTTGAATACAGGCAATAAAAGTGTAAAATTAAATACAGTTTAAGAGGCAAGGTTTGTCACAAACACCTTATACACATCTCTTCATGTCAGTGCTGAAGAGCACTCAGCAGAGCCGCTCATGATGTTCATGATGGTGGCTCAGGAGGGTAAATCTGGGAATTGCCCCAGCATCCTCTTGAATCACTTTCTTGCTCATGCAGGCAGCAAAGCTGGGGCTGGTGCCTCAGGAAATTTGGGCGCTGTAAACTCTCCCCAGTCCTCATGCTATCCTGGCACAGCCGACCACCCAGACATAAGCCCATCCATGGGCTCTGATCACAGTCCAAGCCAGCCAGAGGAGAGCCTGCAAGTGAGCAGCCTATTGATAAATGCAAAAATCCCATGTCACAGACAGGCAGGCAGGTCACCAGAGGCTCCAGGCCAACCGTCACATCAGGGTGGCTGTGGCAGTATCAGGCTAAGTCTTGGGATTCTCCAAGGGTGGAGATGTCCCAGCCCTCTTTGACTGTTTCAGAATCACTCTCCTGGGAAGGAATTTTATTCCAAGATTGAACCTGAATCTTCCAAGCTTTAGCTGGTGACTGTTTATCCCATTGCATCATTCAGCACCACCAAGAACGGTTCAACATCATGAAGCTATGTTAGGGGAAATTTAAGCTGATTGACAGGCTTTAACACTCCAAGAGGCTGCTGGGCCCTGCCCAGGCTCTCCAGGGAATGGTCCTGGCCCCAAGCCTGCCAAAGGCACAAGAGCATTTGCACAGTGCTGCCAGGGATGCACAGGGGGGATTGTTGGGGTGTCTGTGCAGGGCCAGGAGCTGCACTGGATGGTCCTTGGGGTCCCTTCAGCTCAGGGTATTCTGTGATTCTGTGACCTTGCTCACTGACTGTTCTCAGAATCCTACCCTCAGCCCAGGCCTGCCCCCTCCTCCTGGTGCAATGTGTGCCAGCTCCATGAGCATGGTGATATCCCTTGTCCAGGCCTTTCCAGTTTCTTACATCCCTCTTGAGCTAGGAGACCACATCTGGACACTTTCTTCAGACGTCTGCCTGTGCCCTTCCCAGCAGTTTCCACTATGGGCTTTGCCTTATTCTGAGGAAAAACAACAAGCTGATGTCCACCCTGAGGTTCTCTGCTGCTTCCAGGGTCTTTTCAACAGTGTCCTTCCAGCTCAGACTCTTCCCATAATGTCCTATGATGCCATCCATGTGAAGGACATGGATGAGGCATTGCCACACCTATCAGGAAGAGCTAATGAATCTCTTTTCCAGGCATACTGCAGGCTTTCTTCCCACCACTGCATGTTGGATATCTCTGACTGACAGCTCCCTGTGATAGACACCAGTGAGGAGGTCTTGTTCAGGGGTTCACAAACCAGCAGAGGCTGAAAACCATCCAATAATTTTCCTGCAGCTGTGAGTTCCACCAGGAAATGATACATACTTGCTGTTCTGAGCTGCTTTCCAGGGCTGTTTTGGGCAGGCAGAAAACTTTGACCTCAAGGAAAAACCAGCTGAACCCAGTCATAATGTTGAGAAATCAGATGTTCTGCTTCCCCAGAGACAGAGCAGGACCCACCTTCCCTAACAGACAGGTAGGGCTGTTGGTGACAAGAGGTGGCTTATGGCCGAGTAGAAGTTGTGGGAGTGGCTGTGATGGAGCCAAGCGCCCTCCGTCCCACCAGCATATCATCCATGGGATCAGAGGAGCACAGTGACACTTTTGGCTTATCCTCTCCTCCACGAACACTGCAACACTGATCTTCTTCCCACTGCCTCCTGATTTCCCAAAGCAGAGAAGGGGCTGTTGGGTTGGACAACAGCACATGTTTTTAGCTTGGCCAGCGAGCAGCAATAAAAACCAGCCTGCTGCCAACAATTCATTTCCTGTTTCAGGCCCTACCAAAAATAAACTCAGAAGGGAAACTCCAGTGAGAACGAAATACACAGGAGACAACCCAGAGCTCTCAAAACTATACAGGAAATTTCTTTCCAAGCGTTCACTAGGAAGGGAGACAGCGGTTTCAGAGGGAATTTCATGCTGGATGAGGGGTGTGAAGGGGTCTGGGCAGCTGGCAGCTCCAATCAGGATTATAGGAATATAAATATATGTGCAGGTAACATTTCCTGTGGCTACATTATACATGGGGAAATGGCCATTTCCTTCTTTGCCTCACAAAGTGGATGCAGGGTCTTGACTGCCTTTCCCAGGACACTCGGCTCCAGGGCTGCCACGCTGGGGACACTGAGATGTCCCCAGGCCTCGTGGATGATGTTCTCGTGCAGCCAGCATCCAGCTGGCACTGGGCTCTCCACCGCCAGGCTGCGTGGATCACCCCAGCTGAGACCCCAAAAAGGTGCAGTCATTGCAACACTACCAACAATCATTTCCCATTCCTCACCACAGCCATCGGCAGCCTCATCAACATCTCTTGGGGACAGTTGGTGTTTGAGGAGGGCTCTGGTGGTGTTTCAGTGGCAAGAAATAGAAGCCTTTTGCAGGCCATCAGCTGCTGCTGTTGTGCTCTCCCGGTGCCCACCAGCTCCTGATGCAGGTAGCACAGAACCTGCGGAGCCAAGGATGGGCGCTGTGCTCTTGTGAGATGGCAGCTCCAGCATCAGCCTCCAGCAGGAAGGAGAAAGCTGTGCCCCAGGGGTCCCTGTGAGCATGGGTGCTGGCTCTGGGACCGTGCACCACCAGCCCTGGCATGGCACAGACACCTTGATCCAGCTCCCGCAGCTTTGTCTTGGAATGGTGGAGCCTCTGGGTGGGTATTTGCAGCCTTTTCCCTCATAAGAAAATGGGGCAGGGGGGTGGGGAGTGGTTTGTCTCTGTACCCTGTGCCCGGGATGCCACAAAACACAGGACATTGATAAAAATACATACTCCCGGAGTATATGCACGCACACAAAAATATGTGTATATATTATATACACAATTTTTATAAGTCAATATACATTTTGTATGTAGATATATTACGAAAAATTTATTACTGGAATGTATATTATATATATATATATATGTATATTTTATATATATATATATATATATATAACATAATATAAAAATGTATTTGTATGCACTCCTATACACTCCGGAGAAAATGGAGTATTTATTTAATTATTCTTTCTTTTCATAGACACCCACACTCTCCTATATACTCCCACAGTACATGGTACATATACTTCCAAATATATAACATAGATTTATACACTTCTGTCGTTTTACGTCTACAGTAAGGTATATATACATAAACACTTATGTACTTACCTGTTTTTCTGAGTCAGGAGCTGAAGGTGAGGATGTTGAGGTGAGGCTGAGCCTGCCCACAGCATCCAGGTGCCAGCCCCATCCCTGCTGGCATCATGGCAGTGCTCCCCAGGCACCTCTCAACACTGTGCCCACAGAGCAGGTTTTGTGATGCTGAATCAAACAAGTGCTGTTCTGCTGTACTTCCCTGAGGATCTGGGCTTCAGGGAGCTCCAGCACAGACTTGCAGGGAAGTGGGGCCGCAGGATATCTGGCAGGAACTTCACCTCCCAGCACCAGCCCAGCAGCAGCTCCAGGCTCTTCACACAGCATCACTCTAAAGCCACTTTGTCCCCACCGATGGGCACTCAGGGCTGGGCAAAGCCACGGTCACCGTCTCTGCCCTGTCATGCACTGCATTGCGTTCCGTGTGCTTCAAAGTGGGGATGCTTCTTCAGCCCACCGAGACCTCCAGGGGCGGCTCTGCAGCCCCACCCGTCCCATGACGGATGGGGCTGCCGTCAGTGCGCGTTCAGCGGGGCACAGGGCAGCGCCCCGAGGGCTGCACCGGGGAGGGGCTGCAGCCGCACCCCCACTCGCAGGCATCGGCTGGGCATGCCGCACACCCTGCAAACCCACCCTGGCTCCGTTTTAGACTCTCCCTCACCCGTGGAGTAGTGGAAGTGTTTCCACGGCATCCAGGACCCAAATTAATCCCCGACCGCAATGAGCTACGCAGAGCAAAGGGCATCTAGCACACGGAGCCATCCCCGATCAAATCCAAGAGCCTCAGCCTTTATTTCAGCCTCTGCAAGCATCATTTGGGAAAAATCCATATTTTTTCAGGGAAAGCACGAGGGCACTCTGTCCAAGGGTTTTGTGCAGGAGAGGAGGAATCATCAGGTGGAAGTCAGGCAGAGGTTCCGGGTACCTGATTCATCCCCAGCCTGCGCTCCCGGCTGCATCATGCCTGCCCGTGTTTAGTCTGTGTGGGAGCACAAATGACTGCTCAATGTCATCGCTCTAACCGGATCTGGATTTCATTAGGAGCCACATGATCGGCCCTGGCTGCTGCCGGGGGCTGGCCACGCTCCCCCTGAGGAGCTGCGCAGGATGCAGGGTGAGGGTCGGGGCGCGGGGCTGAATGGGCCCCTTGTCTACAGCAGAGAAGCCGCAGCCACCTCCTTGGGACCAGTGCTTTCTCCCCCTGAGAGGCTTGGAGACCCCAAAAATATCCTGAGGGGAAGGGAGTGCAGCCTGCAGCTGTCCCCCGCTCAGTTGATGACTGTAGGGGCACAGCAAGGGGGACCCCAAGACCATGAGCTGGGGTCCCTGCCCCTGCCCAAAGTCAGGCTGCAGACACAGCGAGACACAGATGCCAACTGGGCAGCCCCAGCCAAGGGATAGAAGGCTTTGGCTCCAGGCTGCTGCAACCCCTGCATACAGTCATATCCTTTATATCTCTTACATCCCTTGGATCCTTTACATCCCACTGCAACTCTTACATCCCGTTGCACTCTCTTAATCCCTTGCAGCTTCCTTGCACGCCTTGCATTATTAATAGCCTGCTGCAGCCCTTTAAGCATATTTTGCATCCATTACATCCCTTGCATCCTTCTCAGCTCACTGAATTCTTTATGTAAGCTGCATCCTTTGTGTCCCCTGCAGCCTGCTGTGTCACTTGCATCCTGTACATGCTTTGCACTCACCCCCTTGCAGCCCATGGCCCCTGCACACAACTCCCAGCCAAGCCCACACATTTCAGTCTCATCCGAGGT